CCGGTGACGGAAACGAGGCTCTGGAAGATCATGGACTCTTTCCCATCTGCCACCAATTTGTAACCAGCAGTCTTTCAGAGGAGTAGAAGGCGAAGTTCGTCCGCCTACGAGAAGGTTCATTTCCAGCTTAGGACCAAAGCTTGTGATTGTGTGGCAGCATCTGGCCCCAATGTTTTCAGGTGGTACTGCAGGGTATGGCATTGCGGAATTTGCGAAAGTATAGACTGATGTAGTCGATAGCCGGCCCTTTGGACCGACTCCACCATGCAAACCCAGAGCGTCTTGCTCAGGGATCTTGTAGGCAGAGCCGTGATGCGTCCTCCCCTCTTTGTCGGAGTTGGCGGAATAAGTGTACGCGAACCATTGAGTGTTTTCCCGGTGGGGAGAGACTGTCCTTGCTGATAAGTCTGATGCTAAGCTGTCAATCGAGGCTCTTCTTGAACCCCTCTGTTGCTCTGGAATCAGTGGTTCAACTCCTGTCTGCGCTACAAGAAGGCAGTAATGCGACCCGAATAGGGCAAACTCTTCCCTATAACCAATATTCAGTGGCGGCGATCAGGTAATCCGACATGTCACTTACCATTCGTCGAATGGCTCGACCTCGTCCAGCGACATTCTTATAGACGGGGACAAGAACCTTGAGTCAGCCCACAGTTCCCACAAGTTCTGCATATTGACATGAGCGAACCCTGCGTCTTGGAAGCGAAGCGTTTGGGTATGACTTCCAGGGTACTTTAGTACCGATCGGAGTGGGGTGCCGAGTTTGGCGAAGTGCTTCAGCATGGTCGCAGTGAAAGGGTTGTCCGGTCGATCCGGAGACTGTTGTTCCAGTAGACAAAAGGTCACATCTGACCTGATTAGCCATTGTCCATGACCATGTAGAAAGGAGCTTACCGGGGGACAAGGTGGTAGTCCATCGTATCAAGGCATCGGCGTCTTCAGTAGACATGTATGTGATGCTCACCTCTGCGACACAAAGAATGAGGCTCTGGTCGACGTCGACAACTGACTTGATCAATCGCTCTAGTCTCGTTAAGTTCCGCAGGTCGCACCCAATCCCACTGTACTCTACCGAGTCGAAGACAACTCCATTCTCCAGTTCAGCCTCGGGTGTCATAGACAGCATCTCCTTCATCTGCGGTGTGTTTAGAATGATCTCTCGTTTGGTGACCATCAGTGCCTCGAAATCTACATCGAGGAACTTCGTGTTGTTGCATAACTCCTTGTGATGGGCCATCCATGAAAACGGTAGCGGGTCACTAGACTACCAGATCAGATCCAGGCCGGCAGGACAGAGATACCAGTCAACCTTACTCACTAGCCGCAACCGAGGTTGATGATGACTTTCTTCTGGTCAGAAACCTTTTCAAGGAACTGCCTGACTACCCAATCAATGGCCCTCATGCGAAGCCAGTATCCTCTGTTGATGGTGGGAGATCTTCGTATGGGTTTCCGGACAAAATAGCGGTAGAAATGCGGCTGGGGCAGGTAAAGCTTCTCTACACTTCGCTTGGAAACAATACTGCTGTTGTTCGTCTACCGGGATCGATTAGTGTGGGATGTTGAAGAGAAGACGGGAGACCTACACCCATGATGAGGCCTGCATTCTTCTCCATGGGTATTTCGTCGTTGAGACTGTCATCTCGCAGGTGCACTGACGACGTCATCTTGACCTGTATGGCAGTCTAGAGCGGATCTGGTAGAAGAGGTGAATGGTGAGGGAGAGAAGAAATGGATTGAAAAAGTATGCGAGGTGAATGAGGTGCGCGAGGACAGAATGCTGAGCCGAGAGGTGGCCAGAGAGGGTACCACCATGTGCACTACCCTTTCCTCTCTTCTAGTTCTCTAGTTTCAGTTCTCGAATCGCGAAATATGTTCTCAGCACTCGTGGTTACAAGCACCTTTTATTCGTCTTCAGAGGATGACTCAATCGCATGGAATATGGGGCTTGGCACCGGGTCGATTCTGATTGGTCGACGCGGAGTACCTTCTTCTTCTGCTTCCTGATTAGTAAACTTGAATTGAAGAGCGCGCTCAGGTGGCGCTCAGTGCACAAGCTCATACCGAGTACTCCGTACAGTATCTGGATCTTGCGAAAGGGCAGGTAAATTTTAGCATCGGACAGCGCTGAGTGATTGGCCACCCACACCATCCACATACTTGATTTTCACGGGCAGAAAACGAAGCGGAGCAAGTGTCGACTCATCGCGCACACCATGGCGGAGGATCCTGAACCGTCCTTGGGAGCATTGTTCAAGCAAGCGAACAATCAGCAAGATGAGCTAGAAAGCCTCGATCCCCGGACTGCGCAGTACAAAGACACCCTCCAGTCTATCATTCATAGCCTCGAGCGATGTCGACAGTTGATCCGGCAGTTATCATTATTCAGCACGAATGAAGAAGTGGAGGACATCTCAACGCAGGATCTTCAGTATATGGGTCCCCATCTCGTGATGAAACTTGCATCGCTGATTGGAAATGCAGGTATCTAACGGTTGATTGTCTCCTCGCGGAGTTCAAACTCAAGTCATATGGCGTTGACAGATTGGCTTCATTACGCGAGGCAGGGGAGTTGTTCGAAAACTTCTTGACCCTGCTAGACCAATATGGCTTGTTGGCAGCTCCGGATCGAGAGCTGTATGAGCGATACCTTGAACAGAAAAGTTCGTTTAGGATAGTCAGTACAGACAGTGCGGAGGAAAAACGGAAAATCAAGATTGCGCGCTTCCAAGAGGAAAAATCCTTGAAGCAGAAACTCCAGGTGTGTGAATCTCTAATCATTGGCACAGGGAGCCTGTTGACAATGACAGTATTTGAGGAACGAGTCACAAAAGGCAAATGTTGATGATGAAACCATTCGGAGCCTGCATCTCGCCGACATAGCACTCCGGGTCAACAACACATTCTCATCTCTCGATATGATTAGTCAGGAGATGGATATCTTGTCACAAATGCGTGATTCCGAGCCGATCAGACCCAGTCCTGTCCTCCCAGACCAACGGGCTCCTGGCAGGTCTGATAACTACTCCGAGCGCCTCGATGGCCCCACAACGATGGCGGGACTTGGGAAAAGACGAGGTCCCTTGCTGAGTCCTAGCGGAAAACCTCTTCAGCCCTTTACCTTGACAGATAAGCGTACCCAGCTACGACAAGGTGTGTTTAGGCCCGGCCACAGCCTTCCCACGATGAGTATCGACGAGTATCTGGATGAAGAACGGCGGAGGGGAGGCATCATTGACGGTGGGGGGAACGCGGACGCCCCTCAGCCCGAGCCTGATGAGGACAATATGGACGCGGTCGATGCTGCCACGATGAAAGCAAGAGAATGGGATGAGTTCGTCGAAGCAAATCCCAAGGGTGCCGGAAACACCTTGAACCGTGGATGATTCGGAAGTCCCCCCCGATGCCTCTCAGTGGCGACGAGAGTCGGCGTCTTGATGCGAGATCCCTGCAGTTCATTCAATGCCACATCTGAGCTGGTGGTCCTGCACGACCTCACTCTGTCGTTTAGGAATGGTGGAAGCCTTCAATTCATTTCTCTTCAAGATCGGCGACAGTGGTTGGCCGCTTCTCCTTGATCTCGGCAAGAATCTTGTCTGCACCTCTGCGAAGCAGTTCCGAAGCCACGTTGACACCGAATAACTCCGCCTCTTCTTTACTTTGCACAATCTCCTTCATCTCGACGTCCGCTTTCTCCTTGCCATCTGTGCTGACAACAATGGCTTTCAGTAGCAGTGCGTTGTGGCCGTTTTCACCTTCTGTCCATGTAGTCTCAACACCTAGCGGGGCACTGCAACCTCCCTCCAAGGTCCTCAGAAGACTTCGTTCGGCTGCTGTAGCGAGATACGTCTGTTGGTGATTGATCAAGTTGAGCATGCGCTGTACCCGACGGTCCGATGACCTATTTTCAATGCCTATAGCACCCTGTCCAACTGCATGTAGCATTCCGCCATTTCCGGAATCTAGGTACTGGGTGATTCGATGGCCGAGGTCGAGGCGGACAAGTCCAGCAGCTGCCAGAATCAATGCATCGAACGGCCCGTCTGCAGCATCAAGTTTTGCCAGCCGGGTGGGCACATTGCCTCTGACATCTAAGATCTTCAGATGCGGGTGCTTCAGTGCTATCTGAGCAGTGCGACGGATCGATGAGGTCCCAATCACTGATCCTGCCGGGAGATCCTGGATGTTGCAGACATTCCGGCCGGCTTTGAGAACGAAAGCGTCTCTAGGATCTTCACGGGTCATTACAGCTCCTATTTCGCAGCCCGGGGGCAATTGCGTCGGGACATCTGCAAGCTATTAGTCTAGTTCCACAAGACTAATGCCACGAATGTGAGACGGACCTTTAAGCGAGTGGACCAGGAAATCCAATTGTCCCTCAACCATGAGAGTCTCAAGTTCGTGGGTCCACAGATTCTTCACTGGCATGTCTTTGAAAGGTGTCAGTTTGTCAACGTCTCCGGCTGCTGTGTCCCGAGCTTTGATCGCATAGCTGTAGTCTGGACACGCCGTTGCTAGGGCACTCAGCACGATTTCCGTCTGCACGAGCGCCAGTTTGGATTTTCTGCTGCCGACATTGAATGTGGTATTTAAGCCCGACTCATTGGAGATGGTTGGGGGATTGTCTCCTGGTATCCCCGCTTGGGTCGCCATTGTTCTTTATTTGTGACTTCTTCGTCTCTGAGGTATTTGCCAGGAATCATGCTCTAGAAAATTCATTGTTCAAGATACGGCTGAAAGCGGTTAGAGGCTCTCCGCCGTCACGTGGCACGTCGATCACTTCGGCTTGCCGGACCTCGGCATGCGGAGGTCGATGATTGCGCAGTCGTCGCCAGTTTCGGCGCATCCAGCAACTTCCATGACACCATTCAGTAACTTGACGATGCGACTCCCGAATCAGTAATCCTCCTGTCGACCCCAGAGTCCACATAAACACCTGCGGCTCCCCACCTGACTCTCCCTCTCGACCATCACTCTTACTGTGACCAACACCAGCGATCATGGGTTACACGGCGAAGGCGACCATCCCCCTCATTCCTCTCGCGAAAGACGCCGTTCTTTTGCCGGGAGTCACTCTCCGCATCCCAGTGTCGAGTCGTGCGGACATACCCCTTCTGCTGTCCTCGGCGTTCCAACGCGCCACCAAGTCGAGGACGGGGTCGGCTCAATTGCCAATCGGCTGCGTCCCGTTGAACTCGCCCTTTCTGAGCCCGGACGGCAAGGAACTGCTGGATAGTTCTGCGAAGGAGAGCAGCCGTGATTATGACACCGCCGGTATCGATCCAGGCAAGGCAAGAAAACAGGATCTCTACGGGTATGGCACGCTGGCAAAGATTATCGGTGTCCAAGGCAATTCCAACGCCGACCCGTATCTGCTCGTCGAGGGTATCCAGAGATTCAGAATAGATAAGGTTCGACACGAAAGACCACATTTCGAGGCTGAAGTTACCTTCTACGAGGATGAAGTACCCGACCTCAACGACGGAGACCTCCGTGCTAGTTTCACCCGATTAAAGCAACGATCACGCGAGCTTTTGACACTTCTTCGACTCTCATCACTCTTCCGACCCGCATCAATGGTGCTATCCCCGCTGATCGTCCGCCGCTTCGAGTTGTTCATTGCGAAGAAAGACCTCTCACAGGCAGGCCAGTTGGCCGACTTCATGACCGACATTGTCGAAGCAAGTTTTGAAGAGAAGTTAAGGATACTCAGCACTTTGAATCTGCACGAGAGACTCGAACGTGTGCTAGCTCTACTTAACAAGCAGATATCTGGAATTAATGGCAACATCAAGATCACTTCCGTCACATCCACAACCATCCCCGGCAACCTTCCAATCGACATCAATGACCTGAACCAACAGCAGCGGGAAGCACTAGCCCGGCGGGCAATGTCCGGACTGAACGGTATGTCGCCTCCAGGGGTGCCAGGCATGACCCGCGGCGACGGCGATGAAGACAACGAAGTCAATGAAGTCGATGAGCTCCGGAAGAAGGTCAACGAGGCCGGCCTGTCGCCGGAAGCTCATAAGGTTGCAGAGCGTGAATTGCGACGGCTCAAGAAGATGAACCCTGCCAACGCCGAATACGGCGTCATCCGCACCTACGTCGAGAACTTGGCTGAGATCCCTTGGACAAAAGTAACTGACGACCACCTTGGCGTCGAGACTCTTCAACGAGCTCGCAAGCAACTCGACGACGACCACTATGGCCTCGAGAAGATCAAGAAACGTCTTCTCGAATACCTCGCTGTCCTCAAGCTCAAACAATCCGTTAATGCCGACGTCGACCAACAGATCGCTCGCCTGACCAAGCAGCTCACTCCGAACAACACCGAAGACAGCAAAGAAATCGAACAAATTCCAGACGAGGAGCGTGATGCTGCCACTGCGAAACTTCACGTCCTCAAATCTAAGCGTATGGTGGACAAATCCCCCATCTTGCTGTTGGTTGGCCCACCAGGAACAGGCAAAACCTCGCTCGCCAAATCTATCGCCTTGTCATTGGGGAGAAAATTCCACCGGATCTCTCTAGGCGGCGTGCGCGACGAGGCCGAAATCCGCGGGCATAGGCGAACTTATGTCGCTGCCATGCCTGGCCTTATCGTCTCTGGGTTGAAGAAGGTCGGCGTGGCGAACCCTGTTTTCCTGCTCGATGAGATTGATAAGATTTCCTCGAACAACTTCCACGGCGACCCTTCTGCTGCGATGCTCGAGGTGTTGGATCCGGAGCAGAACCACAGCTTCAACGACCACTACGTGAATATTCCCATCGACTTAAGTAAAGTCCTCTTCATCGCTACGGCAAACTCCCTCGACACCATTCCCGCGCCTCTTCTTGACCGTATGGAAACAATAAGACTGGCGGGATATACCACAGTCGAGAAACGCCACATCGCCAAACAGCACCTCATACCCAAGCAAATTCGGACAAATGGTCTGGGCGAGGGTCAAGTCATCCTTCCGGACGATGTTGTGGACGCAATCATAACCCAGTACACACGAGAATCCGGGGTGCGGAATCTTGAGAGAGAGATCGGGAGTGTGTGCCGCTTCAAGGCGGTTCAGTACGCCGACCTCCAAGACGCGAACGACACATCAAAGTACAATCCCGTCGTGAAGGTCGAAGAACTAGAAGAGATCCTCGGCATCGAGCGATTTGAAGAAGAGATTGCTGAGAAAGTATCTCGACCCGGTGTCGTGACCGGGCTAGTGGCCTACTCGAGCGGCGGTCAGGGCAGTATCCTATTCATCGAAGTCGCAGACATGCCTGGAAAGGGTCGCGTTCAACTTACCGGCAAGTTGGGCGATGTGCTCAAGGAAAGTGTCGAGGTGGCGCTCAGTTGGGTGAAAGCTCACAGCTATGAACTCGGCCTCACCCATGACAGAGACGAGGATATCATGGAAAAACGCGCGATCCATGTACATTGTCCCGCTGGAGCCGTGCCCAAAGACGGACCCAGTGCAGGGTTGGCCCATACGGTGGCGCTCATCTCGCTCTTCAGCGGCAAGACCGTGCCACCGACGATAGCGATGACCGGTGAAGTCAGTCTGAGGGGCCGCGTCATGCCCGTGGGCGGGATCAAGGAGAAGTTAATCGGCGCACATCGTGCAGGGGTCAAGACTGTGCTGTTGCCTGTAGGGAACAAGAAGGACGTCAAGGATGTGCCGGACGAGGTGAAGCGCGAGCTGAGGATTGTGCACGTCAAGTAAGTCTCCCTTTATCTCTCCCCTTTTTCTGCAGTTGTGGCATGGAGTTTCTAACGTGTTGTACTTCTAGGCACGTCTACGAGGCGTTGAGACATATCTGGCCGGATTCGACGTGGGCGACGGATCAATACATTGCCCAGGTGGAGAGCAGACTGTAGTATACACGATAACCTTCTCCCTCGCTGCTCGCTGTGTGGCAATGACGTGGAGTTTATTAGGCGGAGCGCCAGGTCGAACGTTGCCTTTAGCAAGCGACCACTTCTGTATTCTGTTTTATAGCAAGCCCATGACGGTGTCACCATTAGGACCATCGCCCCTTCCACTCATTCCTCTACGCAATGCTTTTAGACGCATCGATATGTAAGAAGTGTTGTACAATATGACCATGACAACCCACACACACACACAAGGTCGACAGGCAGTTATCATACAGACGGCCGCGACCCTCCCGCCGGCTGCTGTGTGGAGTCCGCTCCGGTGAGCCCACGCATAGCACGCCAGTCGTCGGCAAAATTCTGCCACGTGGGCGCCCACCGCGTCTTGCCCTTCAGCAGCTGCTGCGCTTGCACGGCGATGGCCTTTCTGTGTTTTTGGTTCGGGTTGTGCATGCCCCATTCGGACTCCTCGCGGTTCTTTTCCACGATGGCTTTCATCGAGGCCCAGTACTCGTTGTGCTCCCAGCTGTATTCAAGTGTGGTTAGCTTGTGACCTGGGATAGTTCTACCAGCCCGGCGGCGGTGGACCTGTTGGAGTGGGTGTGTGGGAGAACTTACGCATCGAGATTCTCGGGCTCTTCAGGGTAGACGAAGGGTTTGGCGAGTAGACATGTCATTTTCTTCTTGCTGCCCGGCCGGAACGCCTGGCCGCGCGAGTACATGTCGCGGCCTTCCTTCCGGTCGAGCTTCTGCTGGAAGACCGCGCTGCGGATGTGCAGGACGTCGACGTTGTAGACGTCCTTGAGGTAGGCTTTCAGGTCGAGCTTGTTGAAGTGTAGCGGCACGTCGAAGGCAGCGTAGCGTGGGCCGAGATGGGGTGTGCGCATGAGGACGACGGCGTCTTCGGGCGACGGGCTGGCCGGGGGGAGACTGTCAGATCGTGGTTACGCCGACGACTGGGATGGGGGAATACATGACATGACATGATATAACAGAGCGAGTGCCCGGAACTTACAAATAGACTTGCTTCCGCATGCTGAGGGGGACATTGTAGGGGAAGGAGAAGTATTTCGAGGGGTTGAGCAGGATGCGCAGAATGTTGGAGCGGTTGAGGTTGATGGATCCCTGCTGAATGAAGGTCTTGACGTCCTGCGAGAGGGTCCGTAGGTTGGGATGTGCCTCGATGAACTGCGGCAGAGTCTCGCTGTCTAGCTTCCACCACTCCATGTTTATTTCCTCATTGTCGATCAGTGGTCTCCATGCCTTGGAGCCGGGCCACGTCTGCCGCCGTAGTTCATCCTTGCTCACCAAGTTCTTGGCTTGCCAGAAGGAGAGCCCTTTGCTGGATTGGATGCGTCGTTTGGCATTCCAGAGTCGAGGCCCGTCGCCGTTGACAGGGTGGACTCGTTTCGTTCGGAGGACTGGCGGAGTTGTTCTGACGTTGATTTTCGCGCGGACGCGTATGCCGCGAGGCATGGTGCGACGGTGCAAGATAGAGAGGGACTGCACAGCGTCGGTGAGCGTGGAATTTCCTCAATGCAAAGTGAGCCTCGAAACCATGAAACTGAGAGTTGGAGTGCACGGGGCTCGGAGTCCGGAAAAACAGTATCTCCGAAGGCCGTGCCAGCCTGATGCAGCCTCATTAAATCGCCTTCCCCGGAGACACGCTCCCGCCGGTCAGTATTTTGGTGGATCACCAATTCGTCTTTCACCTATTCCGTAAGCTTCTTGACGCCTGCGGCCAATTGTCCAGGTACAGACAGACGCTTCCCAACTCCGCAAAATCCAGCACTTGCGCAAACCACTCTTCTGCGTCCCAGTCATTGTTGATTTCTCAACCATTCCCGTTCGTTACTCGCGTGTTCCGATCTGGTCTCCATCTACCTCTTCCTCACATTTATTGGCCACTGAAGGGCCGGGTGCAAGATGGCGCAGGACGACAAGAAGCCCACCGCCGCGGAGAAGGGCAAGGGCAAGGCAGACGACGTTCCCATGTCAAATGGAGAGAAGAGCGATGCCACAGAAAAGACGGGCGAGAAAGCAGCCGAGCCAAAGAAGCCTGGCGAACCTGTTGCTGAGGAGGAACTCAGCGAGGAGGATCAACAACTCAAGAGTGACCTCGAGATGCTGGTCGAGAGATTAAAAGAAGACGATGCCTCCCTGTACCAGCCTTCAATCGACGCCATCAAAAACTTCATCAAGACCTCGACTTCCTCCATGACCGCCGTGCCCAAACCCCTCAAATTCCTCCGCCCTCACTACGATGAAATTGCCGCCCTTTACGACAAGTGGTCTGCAGGATCCGACAAAGACTCTCTAGCAGATATGTTGTCGGTGTTGGGCATGACATATGGGGATGAAGAGAAGCTGGAGACCCTGAAATACAGATTGCTGTCGAACAGGTCGGACGATCTGGGGTCCTGGGGTCACGAATACATCAGACATCTCGCGCTTGAGATCGGTCAAGAATACCAGAATCGCCTGACAGAAGAAAAGGACGTCGGCGACTTGACGGATCTGGCTTTGTCATTGGTACCCTACTTCCTCAGCCACAACGCGGAAGCCGATGCCGTGGATCTCCTCAGCGAGCTGGAGATGATCGAGGAGATCACGCGATTCCTGGACGAGAATACTTTCGGCCGTGTTTGCCTGTACATGACGAGCATGGTCAACTTGCTCACCTATCCCGACGATATCGCTTTCCTGAAAACCGCTCACGACATCTATGTTAAGTACAACAAGCTTGCTCAGGCGATGGTCCTTGCAATAAGATTGAACGACCACGAACTCATCCAGCAAGACTTGGAGTCGACGGATGATGTGGCGTTGAAGAAACAGCTCGCTTTCCTCATCGCCCGACAGCGCATATCGGTAGAGCTGGGCGGCGACAGCAAGGATGATCAAGAGATTGCTGAGTGTATAGGAAACACACAGCTGCCCAACCACTTCAAGACCTTGGCTAAAGAGCTCAACATCCTGGAGCCCAAAGTGCCGGAGGATATCTACAAGACACATCTGGAGAGCGGTCGCGGTAGCTCGGCCGCCGCCGACTCGGCGAAGCACAACCTGGCCAGCGCCTTCGTCAACGCCTTTGTCAACGCAGGATTCGGCACCGACAAGCTAATGCTGGTAGAAGGCGAGCAACGACCGTGGGTATGGAAGACGAAAGATGATGGCATGCTGTCTGCCACGGCCTCGCTGGGAATGCTCATGCAATGGGACGTGGAGGGCAGCTTGGACGTCATTGATAGATTTCAACAGGCTTCCGAGGACTCCATCAAGGCTGGAGCTCTACTGGCGTATGGTGTGGTCAATTCCGGGGTCAGGATGGAGGGTGATCCAGTCATTTCCCTGCTCAGCGATGACGATGTGCTCAACAGCAACAAACCTTCCATAAGAGTGGCTGCCATTATGGGTCTGGGGTTGTCGTATGCTGGTTCAAATCGAGAGGACCTGTTGGATTATCTACTGCCCATCCTCGAGGACAATGGCTTGGAGATGCAATTGTCTGCGATGGCTGCTGTATCACTGGGTATGATCTTTGTGGGATCCTCGAATCACCAAGTCGCCGAGGCCATTGCCACCCAGATGATGGATGAGGTGAGGCAGAAGCAGCTCAAGGATAAGTGGGCAAGATTCATGGCGTTAGGATTGGCCCTTCTCTATTTTGGCCGGCAAGAGGAGGTCGATGTGATCCTGGACATCCTTAAGGCGGTTGATCATCCCATGTCGTTGCCAACTGCGACACTGGCGTCGGTTTGTGCCTGGGCAGGTACGGGAGCTGTGCTTAAGCTGCAAGATCTCCTTCACCTCTTGAACGACCACTTGGAGGACAAGGAAGACAATGTTGGCGAGCAACTGGTACAATCCTACTCTGTACTTGGCCTGTCTCTGATCGCCATGGGCGAGGATGTCGGTCAGGAGATGATTCTCCGTCAATTTGGCCACCTCATGCACTACGGCGAGGCTAACATCCGGAAGGCCGTGCCTCTGGCTATGGGTTTGATCAGTCCCAGCAATCCACAAATGAAGATCTACGACACCCTGTCACGCTACAGCCACGACAATGACAATGATGTTGCCATCAACGCCATTTTCGCCATGGGACTGGTCGGAGCTGGGACGAACAATGCTCGTCTCGCACAACTGTTGAGACAGTTAGCCAGCTACTACCATCGGGATCAGAATTCGCTATTCATGGTCCGAATCGCCCAGGGCCTCGTCCACATGGGCAAAGGAACCATGTCACTCAACCCTTTCCATACCGACCGACAGGTCTTGTCAAGAGTCGCTGCGGCAGGTCTCCTGACCGTGCTTGTCTCCCTGATCGATGCGAAACAGTTTATCCTGGGCGACGCGCATTACCTCCTCTATTTCCTGGTTACAGCCATGTACCCGAGATTCTTGGTGACTCTCGATGAAGACTTGAAGCCACTTACAGTGAATGTACGAGTCGGTCAAGCGGTCGATGTTGTGGGTCAAGCCGGTCGACCACGAACGATTACCGGTTGGCAGACTCAGAGCACGCCGGTGTTGTTGGCGCACGGAGAACGAGCGGAGTTGGAGGACGAGGAATATATCTGTTTGAGCAGCACGCTCGAGGGTTTGGTCATTCTACGCAAGGTAAGTACCCTTTCTTCCCACTTGGAGAAGTCCATCGTTCTAACAAGCTCGCGCTCACAGAATCCGGAATGGGAATCCACAAAGTAAAGGCGCTATCGCAACAGTTAAGGAAATCGTCGTCTTCGCATCCACTTCGGTCGATCGCGTGCAAATGCCGGGTCGAGCAGCATGCCGTACCTTGTACCATAGATGATAGATTCGCAGGGACTCGCCAGTGGTTCTGGA